GTTTATAGGTGGGCATGAAGCCAAACACAGTCTTTCCCAGCCCAGACAGATATTGTCTGTGTTGCAGAACCCAGGCCTGGTGGAAGGTGGCACCTGTCCTCACTTAACATCATCAAAAGGTTACTGGAAACAGTGCCTTCAGCTACATGATAGGTAACAAAAACAGGTCTTTGAATACATCATTTCTTTCGAGGTCTACCAGGCCGGTCTTTTTCTCATCAATGTTATAGGGATATTCATTATTTGAGAATTTGCTGTACAACCTCAACCTAATGACGAGAAAGCGTCAGAAAATCTATGATGACTAAGCAGTAGCAAAAAACAGAATTGAGAGAGATCCTACAAAATAATTAGCCTGCATAAATAAAATATCAGAGTTGTGAAAGACTGTGATGGTTAATAATTAGCTGGGCTAAGGGACACCTGGGTAGCTGATTAAAAATGACATCTGAGGGCGTGCAGACCTCTCCTGCCGCCCGCTGCTCCCCTCAGCAGTGTATTTCAGTCCTTCTGCCTGCTCTGCTCCCCGCTCTGGCTCTGGTGAATTCTCTCACCCTCCCGTGCTTCTGACTGTACCCAGTGCTTGTATAAACAAAAACAAACAAACAAACAAACAAATAAATAAATAAAACATGCCTCATTTAAAAAAAAAAAAAATGACATCTGAGTATGTCTTCCAGGGTGTCTGGGAGAGAATAGCACTGAAATCAGTAGACTGAATAAAGACGCCTCGCCAGTGCTGGCCAGGAGCATCCTTTCCACTGAGGACCCGGAAAGAACAAAAGACACAGGAACTCTGAGTGTGCTGAGGTGGGACATTTCTCATCCTGCCTTCACTTCAGTGGAATTTCAGCCAAGTTCCATTTGTCAAAATGTCTTTGGCATCAGGAAGGGAGGTGTTATAAGAATTCATTTCATTTTCCCTGTCACACAAAAGCTATGGGTCTCTCTAAAATACTGCTTTAAATTCTCCCTTAAAAAGGCAGTTACTCGCCAATCCCCTGCTGTGCAAAGGCAACCGTGTTTCTGAATTCAAAGTCAATTCCCCGCTGGCAGAGACACTGACTCAGCAAACAGGAAAGCAGATCTTGTAATCAGGGAAATGCAAATCAAAAGTACCACGAGATACCATCTTACACCAGTAAGAATGGCACATATTAAAAAAACCAGCAACAACAAATGTTGGCGAGGATGTGGAGAAAAAGGAACTCTCCTGCACTGCTGGTGGGAGTGCAAACTGGTCCAACCACTATGGAGAGCTGTGTGGAGATTTCTGGACCTATTAAACATAGAGCTTCCATATGATCCAGCAATTCCACTCCTAGGTATTTACCCAAAGGACACAGAAACATCAATTCCAAAGAGCACCTGCACCCCTATGTTTATAGCAGCACTATTTACAATAGCTAAGCTTTGGAAACAACCCAAATGCCCAAAAAATAGATGACTGGATCAAGAAGATGTGGTACATATACACCATGGAATATTACTCAGCATTCAAAAAAGATAAACACATGCAATTTGCAGCAACATGGATGGCGCTGGAAAGGATCATGCTCAGCGAAATAAGCCAGAAAGAAAAAGAAAAATACCGGATGGTCTCACTCATAGCAGGAATCTAGAAAACCTAAATAAGGGACCAGGAAAATGAATAACTATAAGAAACTGAAAATCAAAATCAACAAAAAACTATGAACCAGAGACACTCTATGGGGGATGGGGGGCGGGGAGGGGAGGGATTGGGGTCAAAATAAGGGGGTTGCAATTGTATGGGGAATATAAAAATAAAATTTAAATAAATAAATATATTTAAAAAAAAAGAAAGCAGAGTCAGCTGTGGGGGGGCTGGCCCCCTAAATCAGGAAATACCCGTGGAAGAGACTGAAGTTTCAAGCTACAGGATGGGAATAAATATGTCACCTGTGAGGGGGTATGGGGAAGTGTCGCCTGAGCGAGGGGGATGGAGAAAGAGAGGGGAAGGGAGAGGGACAGAGAAAACACTTAGGGAGAGAAACAAAATACAAACACGGCTAAATGTAAAACAAGTGGGGCTGGTTTTCTGGGAACTCCTGAGTAAATCGGAAATCACTTAAACATGAAAAGTTATAAGGAGGGGTTTCCCTGGTGGTGCAGGGGTTAAAGTCTCAGCACTATGAAGCTATAGGCAGTCACTGCAGTATGAGTTCCATCCCTGGTCAGGGAGCTACCCACATGGCACAGCAGATTCTCCTGTCTCACCTGCTGCTCCCCCCAGCAGTGTATTTCAGTAGATCTGCCTGTTCTGTTCCCACTCTGTCTCTGGTGAATCCTCTCAACCCCCCACCCCCATCCCACACCTCTGGCCTATACCCCAGTTCTTCTACACACACACACACACACACACAAATAGAATTGATTGAATGGACTTTAACTCTCCCATGATGGTGAAGGACCCTCAGCAGCAGAATCAGGCTGCTGTACTGAAAGTCTCTTAGGGACTGTTGAGATGTGAGCCTTTTTGTCTCAAGCCTTTAAATTCTTGTGCCTGATGTTTATTGAGTTTTCTGTTTCTTCCATTACTGTCGGGTGCCTTCAGAAACGACTGCTTCCAATGTTCTGTGGCATCAGATGCTAGCTGCCCCAGCTTGAAAGGACTGTGAGTCAATTCTGAGTAAAGAAGCTGATCGAGGGCCTCTCTGGTGGTGCAAGGGGTTACGCACAGCACTATGAAGCAATCGGCAGCCTCTGAAGCATGAGTTCGATCCCCAGCCAGGGAGCAACCCACATGGCACAGCAGGCCTCTCCTGCCTCACCTGCTGCTCCCCTCAGCAGTGTACTTCAATCTGCCTGTTCTGTTCCCCACTCTGTCTCTGGTGAATCCTCTCACACACACACCACCCCCGCATCTCTGGCCTGCACCCCAGCTCTTATATGCATAAATAAATACTTTTTTTTTTTTAAAAAAAGAAGCTGATCGAAAGCCTGGGCCCACTGGTACACTGAGAGCTTGAGCTTTGAGGGTTGGTGCTCAGAGCCTTTTTGCTGACATCATGTTCCATCTGTTGTGGTTGATGGTGAGGTCCAGTCCAGTTTGAAGAGCGGTATTATAATTAGACCTGGCGTCTTAGCCTCTCTAGCTTGTCCCAAAATACTTAGCATGTTTACAATTGCCACAAACACTACACTGATGTGAACACCAACTGACAAAAGCTAAGCACCAATATTACGTTTTAAAAGCAGAAAAATCAGAATTTTCTGTTTCTTTTCTTTCAGAAGCTTAAGCCACCCTAAAAATTATTATCTACTGTAGCCACGTGTCTTTCCTTGTGTTGACTTTGTCTGGAAACATGAAATATGACTTATTTATCAGACTCACATAAGTTTCTGAATGTATTAATTCCATGAAACTTCTAAATAGGCATAAGTCATGAGTTTCCATTAAGTGTTATTGGAAATCTAGCTACTCATTATTCACATATCAACCAGAATCAAAATTTTACTTTATAGTCTATATTTAGAAGTTTCACTTAATTTTTTTTTATAGAGGCATTTTATTTGTTTGTTTGTTTGTTTGTTTGTTTATACATGCACTGGGTACAGTCAGAAGCGCGGGAGGGTGAGAGAATTCACCAGAGCCAGAGCGGGGAGCAGAGCAGGCAGAAGGACCGAAGTACACTGCTGAGGGGAGCAGCGGGCGGCAGGAGAGGTGTGCGCGCCATGTGGGACCCTCCTCCGGTGGCCGGGGAGCAGCCGGGGATTGAACAGGCGTCGCAGAGGCCGCAGGCAGCTTCGCAACCCAGCGCTCAACCGCTGTGCCACTGGGGAGGCCCAGTTTCACTTAATTTAATTAAGAAAACAGCAAAGGTTCTGACGTTAATCACTAAATGAAACAAACCAATTTAAGAACAGTTTTGATTTAATCAAGGCAAGAAAGCCAAGTGTTTGTTAGAAATATAAATAATGATAAAACTTGGATATATATTATTGAATAGTTTTTAGCTAATCCACTATGTATTTCCTGCTGCAGGAGGAAATGTTTTGTACAGATAATTCACAAAACATTTGTGTTTTCCTAAACGCCTCTATCACTGTCATCTTTTTATATTGTTTAAAAATTTCTCACGATCAGTTAAAGTCTGTGTAAGCAGAATATGTATTTAACCTCTGTGTTGATAGATTTGGGTTTTCTTCTTTAACTTCACATTCCTTAGGTACATTTCTGTGCATTAGTATTTCCTATACTTACAATTTTAAGCAAGAACAGTAGCAGTTCTTCCTTTTTGGCCAATTTAGGTTTTAGTTTGACTACATGGTGTAACCATAAGCCTCTTTGTGTCAGCTTCTTTCTTTTGCTTATTTCCTTGGAGTATGTTCCCAAAATTAGTATTTCCAGGAAAGAAAGCACATTCAGATTAACGTCACTTCTTGTGTATTGCTAGAGATACATAAGATAAGCTCTTATAGATCTTCCAGAAAGATTTGTCCAAACTTTTCAGCATTGTACCTGTGTTTCAATATACCTGTTATTGTTGTCTTAATGTATTTGATTTTTGGTATTTGTCATTTTATTTCAATTCATTAATTGCTAATCAGTCTATAAAATACAAATATGAGCAGCACTCTGTCTGCTTACCTGTGACTATGCAGGTGCTTCTTTTCACCAACTCTCTCCTGCAGTGCAGCAGCTTCCTGCCTGCCCGTGACCTGCACCATGCCCAGAATACTCTTCACTGACCTCCCTCAGTGGAGGCAGCTCTTCTCAAGGCCACCCAGCTGCAATCATGCAGGCCTTTCTCAGCAAACCTGTCCCTTTCGGGGCAGCTCTTCCTGCCCGCTTGTGTCTATGCAAGTGTCTTTTACTACCCTATCCCTTTTCTAATAAACCTGCTTTTTAAATATAAAAAAAATACAAATATGAATATTCACTTTGATTCTTATTTCCACTTATTAAATGGTTCCTGAAAGAATACAGAATGGGAAATGGGTTCTAGAATGCTGAGGATTCAGCAACTAAATGACCGGGGAGGGGAAAGAAGGCGGATTCCACAATGACTCCTGTTTCTGATTAGGCACCAAATGGAAGGTTTGCTTTTCTCTAATAAAGGATGAACAGATTTGGTGGGAGAATGGATGTATATTGGACAAAACAATAATAGCTAACAATGATTATTTATGATGTTCTTATCATTCTGCTTTATATCAATATATCATCTCATTTAATCTTAATGCCTATTTGACACCCTCTGGTATCAGGTCATGTGCCCTTCCTAGCATATCAATGTGTTTACCAACCAAGAAACTCTGCTAAGCTTCAGTGTCTAGAGTTTTTATTGGAGTTTCATTATGCAGGCATGACTGAAGGAATCACTGGCAATGTCACTGAACTCAGCCTCTCCCTCTAAGTCGAAGAATCCTCTAATCACATGATTGGTCTTTGTTTTTTTAAAAAAGATTTATTTATTTATGCATACAAGAACTGAGGTGCAGACCAAAAGTATGGGGGGTGAGAGGATTCACCAGAGACAGAGTGGGGAGCAGCACAGGCAGATTGGCTGCTGAAGGGAGCAGCTGGCAAGATAGGAAAGGTCTGCTGCGCCATATGGATTAGCCTGAACTCCTGCTGCAGTGGCTAAGGATAGCTTCATAGTGCTGAGACTTAACCCCTTGCACCACCAGGGAGGCCCCATGTGGAATGTATTTTGAATGAAGCAGACTCCATCTTGTCTCCAACTGCTGAGTTGAGAACTAAGTCAATGAGTGGGACTCAATTCTCTATCTTCTCCTTGTCTATAAAAGCAAGTCACTGTTCTTTTCCGTAATCTGGAGCAAGACAGGGAACCACCTGCAAACTGGGGCAAAAGGCTCCATACTTCATACCTGTAAACTAATCCAAAAGTTTCAAAACAAGTGGCCTAAGCTTTGACCACAACTATACCTGATACTTTAAAATTTCCCTGTGTCTTGACCCTAATGGACACATTCTGGGACTGCCTCTTGATCCAGAACCCAAAGTATGATTGCTATTCTCAAAAAAGTCACTGTCCTGTTTATATTGCAGCCTGGTTATTTCTTAGTCAGCAGATTTCACAATGATTTGTTTAAAAAGATTTTTTACTTGAATTTTATGAATCCATGATAGCTATGATTTCATTAGAAAAATTATGCAGACATCTGTCTCACTTTGCCGTTACGTTGAGATGAGAACTAACCTACTGACACTTTATCCTGTGTATACTCTTCGAAGGTACTAATGAGCAATGTCCAAAAGAAAGCAGAGGGAAAAATAAGCCAAAGGTTTAGTTTAGACTATCTACTAATAGGTGATGTCTTGATAGCTGATATGGATAGGGACAGGGGTGAGTTGTAGTTTAAATCTGTGACTCCTGAACTTGTGTGGGGATATTTGCTGACATCCCTGGAATCCATTAAATCAACTCCTCTCTTTCTCAGGCAGTTTCCCCAGTTACTTCCCCCTTTCTGCACGGACTTAGGACTGCATCCTTGAGGACACATATAAAAGATGGTGAGTACCTAGAAGAAGGGATTAGAACCATTCTCCTTTGTGAATGTTCGCTAAGGACTTCTTCAAGGGCTCTAGGTGGTGGTTTTTTTTTTTTGTTTTTGTTTTTGTTTTTGGAGCTACTCATATGATCACAGCCAAAGCTGGTAAGAGGGACAGCATTTATTTGTAAATTGTGGGCTAGTTTTGGAAAACTACAAGTGCAAGAAATTCAGTGTTTGTTTCCATGGCTTCTCTGTTGATAAGCATCTTTTAATTTCTATGTGTTCTCCATCCTATATATAAAGATTACATTAGACCTGGATCCTCCAAAGTATCCAAAAAGGCAGTCATACACAAAAAAGGTAGAAAGTGGGCCTTTCTGGTGGCGCAAGGGGTTAAGACGCAACCTATGAAGCTAGCTGCAGCCACCGCAGCACAAGTTCAATCCCCAACCAGGGAGCTACGTACATGGCACAGCAGACCTCTCCTGACTCGCCCACTGCTCCCCTCAGCAGTGTATTTCAATCAGTCTGTTCTGCTCCCCACTCTGTCTCAGGTGAATCCTCTCATCCCCCACACCTCTGGCCTATACCCTAGCTCTTGTATGCATAAATAAATAAATCTTTAAAAAAAAGGCAGGAAGTTTTCTGAAAACTATTAAGAATAGTGAATTTTCAATATATAGCAAATTATGCTTCAGGAGTATCAGACAGAATTTTCATAGCCTTGTATAGTAAGTCTCAATTGTTTAAATAATTTATTTCCAAATAAGATACCATAGCCAACTCAAAAATATCTTTGGTGATGTATTTCCAAACTTAGGACATGATTTTCTGACTTAAATTTTTTATTTTCTAGTTAGTAACAGAAAATAATCTACATTATGTCAAAGCAATCTGAAAATTAGTAGTTATGTAGTGACTACTGAAAACTTTTCTATGACCATGATAAAGGTGACACTCTATTCATTACTTAGTGAATGTATCTTTCCCAAATAGAACAAGGTATTAAGAATTCCATAATTTATTTTTAGAATGGGCAACAATTACATCAGAGGAGACAGCCATGTTGCTATTTAATTATGTTAAAAAAACATGCTACTTATCATGCTAGATCACCACTCTGCATCTCACTCATATAAAAACTTGACCATTTTGCCATAAGCATAAATGTCTAACATTTAACTATACATCATTTTACCCTTCTTGAAGGTATTTCTAGGGATGCAAAGGTAAATTGCTAACAAACCCTTTTTCCACTGATGGAGGTATTTTGGGAGTGAAAGGATTGAGTCTAGAAGCGCTATTGCTGCTCTGGTATGACACTGTAGAAAACACAAGAAACCGAAATAGACAGTAAATGTTAAGTAAACCTGTGGCCTCAGACGCTGCTGGCCCTGCCCTGGGTTCTGTAATGGTGACCAGACTGTGTTGAAGTTATAACTGTCGTGACTCAGACTTCCTCAGTAAGATTCCAACCTTGGGGGGACGTTTTCCCTGAAATAAAATGAAGACACAGTGTCTGAACTGTAAGAGAACGTGTGGTGGTGACTTCCTTCTTAATATTCCCTGAAGTTAAGGGTGACCCTCACGGGGAGGTGAAGTCTGGTATTTGGGGAAGGAAAATCAAAATCTATGTCTGCATTCTAGGCATTAACCCACTGTTCTGTGTACTATATGCACTCTTCTCCACTTGCCTGAGTAATTACTTAGTGTTGTTATTTGTAGACATCATGAGGCCCATCTAGTCCCACCAACAAGTATTCATATTTTGGTCAACACTGTGCTCTTTGGAAAATAGACAAGGAAAAAAATCCAACTGCTTTATTCATTAAGTAAATATTCCAGTAGATGCATCAAAACATGTTCCATGAAGATCAGGTAAGCTGAGGATGGGTGGCAAGAGAAGTCATCCTTCATGACGATTACACAATGAAAAGGTATTTCTAACCAAGTTATAAAAAAGATTCTAGGCTGCCAAACACACATTGCATTAGACCTGGATCCTCCAAAGTAACCAAAAAGGCAGTCATACACAAAAAAGGCAGAAAGTGGGCCTTTCTGGTGGCGCAAGGGGTTAAGACGCAACCTATGAAGCTAGCTGCAGCCAGCAGTGTTTAATGAGATTAAGTGTTTAATGAGAAACTGGCTTTTCTCATTGAACCCAACAGGCTCCAGAATTATACAATCATCTCTGAGATTCAACATACATCTGTAAATTACTATATTTATTATCTGAAAAAGTCAATGCAAAGTATTTATTAAGAGTAACTATGAAAATGCACAATTAAATTAAAATGGGGTTTAAATTAAAATGTAAACTCACATTTGGGGAATGTTAGAAGCATGAAGATACTCATTTACTCACATTAGCTTGGGTAGAGAGGGAAGGTCATTGCAGGGATACCCTATAAATAGAGAATACATAGTACTAGACTTTGGAAAATATTCCCGGGGCAAAGCTTTGGCGATTTAATATCAGAATGTTTGAAATTGAGAAGGGTATTTTCATGGCTACTATAACCCCGATGTCTCACTTGCTAAATAAACTATTTTATATTTAAACTACTAAACCTCTTATGTGCCTGGCTATATACTGACTATTTTTTCTATCAGGCTGACACACAGTTATGTAGCAGCAGCTGCTCAGTAACAATTACTGAATTGCATCTTTCTGGCCTTCTGGGTATATGCAGTCAGAGCATATTTTGCAAATTGAGTCCACAATGTCAGGCACTCAGAAGAGTGTATGGACATAGATTAATCTCAAGATTGAATATATTAACAGGTATAGTAGCACATGATACAAAAACCCCAATTTGTAAATCATAAATTAAGGAATAATAAATAATTAAAATTAACTCAGCAAAATATTTAGACTCACTCTTTAGATATCAATCTCCTCTACTGGTTTTAGCATGATTCAGTTTGCTTTATTATCAAATTTTCTGATTAAAGGAGTCACATGATCTAAGAGATACACTTGTAAACTTCTGTAAACTCTTATATGTTACTAACAACATTCAGTTAAAGAATGAGATAAGCTATAGAAAGCCCCCACATACTTAATCTCTGTTGTACAATAATCTTACCTCTTTAGGATTTGTGAAAAGGGATTTTATTTTTTGTCTTCTTTACTTTCCTTATTCTCTGGTAATGAAACTAGTGGGGCATGAAATTGCCTAGGGAAGAGGAAAACCCAACTGACTGGTTCAGTTTGATTGTTATCTGCTTATGAAGAAAATATAAAACATTGATACATTTTAAAATTTCTCTTTTTTTTTTTTAAAGAGGCATGTTTATTTATTTATTTATTTGTTTGTTTGTTCTGTTTACACATGCACTGGGTACAGTCAGAAGTGCGGGAGGGTGAGAGAATTCACCAGAGCCAGAGCGGGGAGCAGAGCAGGCAGAAGGACCGAAGCACACTGCTGAGGGGAGCAGCGGGTGGCAGGAGAGGTCTGCGCGCCATGTGGGACCCTCCTCCGGTGGCCGGGGAGCAGCCGGGGATCGAACCGGCACCGCAGAGGCCGCGGGCAGCTTCGCAACCCAGCGCTCAACCGCTGCGCCACCGGGGAGGCCCTAAAATTTCTCTTTTAAAGCTGACAACTGATGTTAATGTAGCTTCATCTTTAAGATCACAAGGATGTCAGTGTGTACAGAAAGGCTACTGCTCTTGTCAGAAGTTTCAAGAGACTCTGAAGTAGAATTTGGAAATATCATTTAGAAAAACTCACCCCCATGTGGAGGGCCAGGCATTACACATAAAGAGAAACAGTGTTGGTTTGAAAAACAAAACACTTATTGAAAGGCACCAAGCTGTAAAATAAGGCAGAGAGGTCAGGTTTTTTTACCCTGAAAATTGATGCTGAAGTCATAGAAGGCTGCAGGGTGTGCAAACTCAAGGCCTTTGGGTCTGGAAAGAAAGGAGGTGTGTGGAGTGTGTGCCCCCCTGATGTACAGTCCATTAGAAATGGACAGCTGCCGTTCAAGCCAGTCGACTACACTCTCTGCAGGAGCATTGAAAATCTCACTTTTCAATCAGTCAATTTTGTAAAAATTTTTAGATATTTACATTTTTGTTCTAATGAAAAAAAACCTGCTGATTAGGAAGAGAGGTAAAAAAAAAAAAAGACCTAGATGTAGACAGGTAGTTTGTAACGTGTGGGCTAATTTTCCAAGTCCCAGTCCAGTTTTCATCTCACAGTACTTGGTGAAAATACCTTAAAATAAAATGCTTAGACTTCCTTAGGAGATGCCCTAATAGATCCAGGAGCCTTTCCTGGATAGAGATTTTGGACCAGAAATGGTGTTTCAAGTATTAATGGGAAAAGTGAGAAGAAAAGACAGGGTGACACTATTCAATCTTTAGAAAGAAAACAAACACATTATCTTCTCTTCCATCTTACAAAGTCAAATGTTAAATGTTCCTTCTTTCTTTAACGAAAACTTGAATCTAGAAGGGAATGACTTACAATGCAACACGGAAAACAGATCATTAGTTAAAAATCTGGTCTGGGTCTTGTTACTTGGTATTAAGTTCTTTTCCAAATAACAACATATCTATGAAAAACAAGCCAAGTGAAATGAGAACCAAAAAAATCATGATTACAAAGCACACTGATAACCAAAATTAAATATGATTACCAAATGGAAGAAATGTTTTCTTTAGAAATTATGTACCAGTATTAAGTTACTAAAGGTCTGGTCAATTAAAATCAAAGTGAAATTTAACTGGCACAGTAAAGCATCACTATATATTTATAAGGTAAGTCAATTTGACCAGATGTTTCTGACAAAGATCATTTGTGCTCCAGACACAAGTATCTGAATTACTGTACAATACATTAAAAAAAAGTTCAAAAGATGGATCAATTTTATATATCCTTAAAATTCTACCCAAACGGGTATGTTCAGGTTTACATAAATAGATACACAACATAGTTTTCAAACCAGAAGTGAAGTCACAGGTCCATAGGGGTGTGCGGCCTTCCTAGGCCCATTACTTAACTCTGGCTGTTGCAGGACTGTTGTGAGGTTGGTAGGTCTTTGACCTACACTTTGAGCTGTCAGCTCTTAACATGCTTTCCATGAGGAAATCTTTGCCTTTTGTTCAAAACATTTGAACAAAACTCACCTCTGAACTAACAGAGATATGTTAACAGGACTCCTGGCACCAAAGGACTAAGAAAAAGTTATTCTTATACAGTCTCTCAGGCTGTCAGTCATCTTGACACAAACGAGTCGGCATCCACAGTGTCCAGAAGGTAGAGTTCAGGCTGAGCTGTCAATCCCAGGTGGTACTAAGGACAAAAAGATAGAAAGGGTTAGACTGATTTTGAAGTATCTAAATACTGAAATTGGCCTTAACTACCTATAATCAACCTATCAGTTTAGGCCTTTTTTCAATGCTGTTATTTTTACTTCCCCTCAAAAAAATGCATTAGTAGACATCATTTCAAATATGTAAGATAATAGCTAGGAGCTGAAACAGTTAATGGTTGAGATAATGTCTAATGCCTCAGCAAAATCTGCACTTTTATTATTCTTGTGGTACGCTGTGCTTCCGGATGGGCGTTCCTGATCAGGGCATTAAGCAATCACAGATCGACTTTTGCTACTGTGTGTTCTAAAAATCAAATTTCAAATGGTCTAAATCCTGTGCCCTATCTTCCTGGCCCCACTATCTTTTGGAAGCTGAGCAGAGAAAAATCTTACATTAAAAAAATTCATAAAATACCATATTTAATGAGGAATATGGTCTGAAGATTTTTTCGGGCTGCATCACAATCACCTTGGCTCCTGTTAAAACACATTGCTAGACCCCATCCTAGAGACCTGACCCATCAGGATCTGTGATGTTGCATTTTTCTCTTTTCTCTGCATATACCTTGGAGCAATCATTCAGTCTGCTTTTAGCCTTACTGTCATTTTGAGGCTTTAGGAATGTTATTGTTCCTCAGAGTGTTAATGCACACTGCAAGACTATACATCTATACGAAGAAAATATTCCTATTATAATGGAAAGGGATTCAACTCTGCCACTTCTTATGACCCTGAGCAAGTTACATATCCTTTTGGAATCTTATCATGTGTATTGGTAAAATGGGAATAAATAGGATGTACACTAACATGCTATCTCGTATTATTCCTCAATAAATAATACCTAACAACTTGCTTGTATACCTCACAGGCTGGTGATGATGCTGAAAAGACCAGGGTAAACTATAAAACTATTCCCAACGAGTGGATTAGGAACACACTGAAACACTTCTTCAGCTTGCTTATTCACTTCTGGGTATTGTACCTCAGGTTTTAACAACTAAGAGCAATTGTCAGATACACTGACCATTCACTGCAGCCTTTTCTCCAGTGAGCTTAGGTGGTAGACTTTCTCATTAGGTAGCAAGCGAGGGTTGCAGTGTTAGTAACCTTATCCTGCCGTTTATCACTCATACTGCTTAGTAGGCTGAACTCCTTCTTTGGAGAAGTGGGTCATGGTGCATTGAGACATTGAGAAAAGGGGTTAAATGGCACAGGGGTAAGCTAAAAAGCTTTCAGGTCAGAGAAGTAAAGCAAATGAGAAAGCAATTACTTGTAGCTATTGCTGGGATGAGATCATAAGGGGCCTGCCCATTTTCTATACCTACCAGAAAGCATTTAAAGTTACTCTTTAAATTTTAGTACAGGTCAAACAAAATTGGTCTACCGCAGCTGGCACGTTCTGAGCTAAAATATATTCTAGCACTAAATCAGAGTATCAAGCAAATACTTCCATGGTTTCATGTTTCTGGTGCTGCTAAGCATCAGTGCTTGGTGTCTTAACCCCACGAAGGGTGTACTACACATTATATGCATTTGTTAGGTAATGACAATGTGGGTTCCGGAGTTAAAACTACTTAAGTTCAAGTATCAATTGTCCACTGATCAGGGATGTGATTTGGGAAGTTATTTTAGTTTCACAAGAGGCTGATCCTCTTGTTGGTATAAGAATTAAATGAGAAAACAGAAGTGCTAAAATCAAAAGTAGCAAATAGTAGTTGCTAGCCATTTTTAAATGCTTAAGCTAAAAGGACAGAGGAAGCTAAATCCACGGGTCCTGTCGAAAGAAGGAGAAAGGGTCTGCAGAGGGCAGAGCGAAAGGCAATGTCTCAAATCAGGATCTTTCAATTGTTTTACATCCTATTTTAATTCTGAAATTAAATCCAAATCAAGGAGGGCAAAACAAGGAAGAATATGGAGAACATCCTCCCGAGACTACTTTTACGTGTTGCTTGGAGTATTCAGCTCGTGTAAGAGGCAGAGAAAGTTTGCAACAGAGAAAGGGAAAACGAAGATCTACTGACACTCTTGTGACAAATGAAGACTGACTTAAGATTTTCAGTCATGAGTCTGGTGACAGGGCCAGTAGTGTACTGTGCTTTAAATTTTTATTTATTTAAAAGACTTTGTTTTTATTAAACAATGCCAATAGTCACACTTATATCAGGTCTTCCAAATTGATCATTCATATTTACACTCAACACTTTGACTTCTCTATCAAATAGTCTGTACTTTTTATGGCAGCATATACAGAATGAAAAGGTCTACCTTGATGGGAAAAGGATACAGATAGAAAAATGTTCAGCTTAAAGCAGAATAACATTTTTTCCCCCAAGTCCAAACCTATTGATACCACCTTTAGCAACAGAAGAATACTTGACTAAGTGGGTGAATGGAAATTAGTGTCTTAGTGTCCGCAATTTATTGAGTCTTCTGGAGACTAAATCTATGTATTTCTCTCTCCCTTCTAAGGAGGAAATCACTAACAGTGTGGGCCTCATACGCAGCCCAGCTGGTAGATGATGTTTCTATATTTCTGTATCAAAGCTGTTGAGACTTCCTAAGATTCTCATCAAACCTCATTAGCATATTCCAGGTTAAAAAAATACCCAGGAAACCAAATTGGAAAAGGCAAAAAAAATTTTTAATTACAAATCAAGTTTACATAGTGCTAAATGGTCACTAAAAAGTTGGTTGCAACCATTCCTAACACAACTAGCAGGACCTCACAGGAGTCCAGCTGCAGCTCCTCCATATCCCTGGTAACCCTCAGTATGCTGAAGAGGCTCAATTATTTCACGTCACATTTATGGATGACAAGTCAATTTAAACAAAGTACAATTAATTATCCTCAACTTTCCACAAAAACACATTGGAAGACTTAAGTTCTAAACATCATTTATTGCACCTAGAGTACTAAGAAAATCAAGTGGAGTATGGTATGGGCATGTTCACACTATAAAACATCACACACAGAGGATTTACAAAATGCCATTTAACTGGGAAATTTTCCATCCTTGAAACATAACTTCAAAAAGAAAGCTAGCAGCTTTTATGTAGGTTCTAAATAGTGTGATTCTGACACTGACAGGACCCATCCAGGCTCAGGGCAAAGGTAAATGTTACTGTGCTCTTTACAAAAACTTTCTGGGTTAGCTTGGCCTTCAACTACTGCAACCTGATGAAGATGGCAGTCCCCAGCATCTTCTCAGAGTGCCCTTTTATGCAGTTTGGGAAAGAGCGGGGGAGGAGAGGAGCGGATGTGGGGGAAGATTTAGGGAAACTTCTGTGACCTTCTGCTGTAATTACTGGTGGGTCTAAGATGAAGGGGTGGTCAGTGAAACACAATTGTTTACCCTCAATGTCTCATGAAAGCCAGTCCACTGACTATGGGTTTGGAGTGTGTGCAAAATATCAGCAATGGCTTCTTTAAGGGGCTCAGGTGAGCAGAAAACATCAACCAGCCAGGACAACTGTTGTGAGGAGGGACAAGTCCTTCAGTGCCATCTCCGTTACTGTTCTTACAGTCAATGGAGACTGTAAACATTTGATTACTCTTCTCCACCAAAACAAATGATTGGATTTGCAATAACCAGTCTCAGGCTCCGCATGTAAAAAACGTCAGAAGTGGCTGAAGAGCAGCAGCTTCATACTGAATGGAAACATTTCCTCTGACTCCAGAGCTCCACCACATGGTCTCAGAGATTTTTCTCCCGAGGAAATGACTGAAGAGATGTATGTAACCAAGTGCAACCTTGCTGAGCAAGAACTCTGCAATCAGTGATACCTAGTGACTGGTGAGAGAGCTTTACAACAGTTAGGTCCATAGCTCCTTAGATTGCCTTGCAAGTAAGTCGTCCTGGGCAGGAAGCAGATCGGAGCTTCAGAAAAAAATATGACTGGTAGGAGATGGCTTTCAGGAATGAAACTCTTCTCCTTTTGAGTCTTTTCTCCTCATTCCCAAAGTCTCAGTCATAAACATTACCATCTTTTTTGTACCACCACCCTCTGGACTAGGATGGTGATTTTATAATCATATGAGTTGAGAGTAAATAACATCAGGAAAGTTCTGCACGTACAGGAGGGTCGTTAAAATTGGAATCTCATGAAAATCCTGATTAGCTTTCAATCTCTGAGGAATATCTCTGAAGTGATTTTCCAAGGTAGTTACTAATCACCACCTACAGGTGAGTTTTGCTATTTGCCTACTTAGCACATTCTTTATGCTTTCTCACCCCTCTTAACTTCCACTGAGAAATTTAAAGTGGAAAAAAGTTAAAAGAATCTTGGACCTAATAGAGGTAGATCTCTCATAATGTTATATTTAATATAAATGAAACCACTCTAATTGATATTTAAATTTTTATAAGTAAAATAACTGAGAGGGTATGCATAAGAAAAGTATTTCTCCGATTTATTATTTCATTACCTTTTGAAAAAACAATTTGCATACCCATTCTCTAATTTGTATTATGAAAAATTTATTATTTTCCAAGTATGTATTTTTAACATATTGCTTGGTTAAAAGTAATATATAGTAGCTTATTTTTCCAAGGGGTAAAACAAGCTTTACCTTGGGCAGCTATTTAAAAGTTTAGTGTTGAAATGACAGCAGCAATTGTGAGCTTTTTAAAAATTGCACCTAAACCAGTTCTCAGATTAGGAGGCCAGGAAGAAAAAACTTTCCATCTCTTAAAGTCTTTCCCAATAAAAAGCTGAGCCCCAAAGGTGGTTTAGTCTGTGCAACAGCACATACTTTTGCCTATGGTCACACAGTAAACCATAGAAACACACTTGTTTTGATGGCTACTTGTGGAAGACAGCAAACTGGTCCAGTGTTTGTTTACTTAGTGTAGTCACCACTGGTTTCTTCTGTCAGCAGGACTTTAGAGATGCTTACCGTGTGTCCACAATCCAAGAAGGACACGCCCAGTGCAATCAAACATTGCCAACTCTGAAAGATAAAACACAGTCATCTTTTGTTAACCTCTTTGAAGAGCTCTCTTACCCATCATGACTGTATTGCTCACATGCAATCCTACTCTCTTCAGTGAACATCCAGCTTTGCCTGTCTCTACCACCAACTGTTGCACAAGTCATTTCCCCAAACCCACTCCCTGTCAGAACATCCTGGACTGCCTTCCTCAGCAAAGTCCTCCATCGCATCTTCAATGCTGACTTCCCTCTGTTCCTACTGTTTGTAGTGTGCTTCTTGATGCAACTGGGAGTTCCCTTAGTAGTCCTGGTCCATTCATCAAAAAGGGGAATGACTGACAGACTAACACAATTCAACAGTTTCCTGAGCTCCTTTAGGAAGTACACGTTTTAGAGCTAAAAAATAGTAAACCATTTTAGAAAAGAGCCCATTGGTTTAAAAATGGGTCTCAGGTGCCTTGATAACCAATTTGTGTGGAGGATTTTAACTTCTATAGTAAATTTTAAAAACAACTCCTATGAAGGGCATATTCACTTGGGCTTCCCTGTGGTTATTCCCTAGATTTTAGGCTGAGCATCATCTTAGTAAGCCCTAAGTTTACTGGGGGAAAAAAGAGAAGGGACAGGGCCTCCCTGGTGGCGCAAGGGGTTAAGATGCAACCTATGAAGCTCGCCACAGCCACTGCAGCATGAGTTCGATCCCTGGCCAGGGAGCTACCCACATGGCGCAGCAGACCTCTCCTGACTTACCCACTGCTCCCCTCAGCAGTGTGCTTCGGTCTATCTGCCTGTTCTGTTTCCCATTCTGTCTCTGGTGAATCCTCTTGCCAGCGCCGCCCCCACCCCCCGCACCTCTGGCCTTTACCCCAGTTCTTGTATGCATAAATAAATAAATCTTAAAAAAAAAAAGAGCAAGAGAAGGGATATATCACACTGGTATATAACTTTTCAATAGTCACTAAAGTGATTTTCTCAACAAGATATCTAACCTGTGGCAGACACTGGCATGGAACTGAGCAAGTATTATAAAATCAGTCAGCCCCCATCCTTAACCATTCTCTGCAGCAGGTATGTATACATTCTGCTATCCCTAATCCTCAATCCTTGCGTTTTGGGGTTATTGTTGCTCATTAATATAGTGTCTTGTTTATTAATACAATGTTATAAGAGACATGGAAAACAGAGGCAAGAACATAGGCATAATCCCACCATCCTAAGGTGCTATTATTTTTACATAATTTAAACAAATTTTTTCATCATCTGGATACAAATAATTCTCTATTCTCTATGTAGGTTATAGTTTTATAAGCAGTTTTAAATAACTCTAAAAGAATCCATGAAAGAATATCAGTATTTATTTACTTTCTGAAGGGACAGCTATTAAGTGGTAGAGCTGAGCAGGGTTGTAAACCCAGGTGTCCCACCCAAAGTTCTGAAACCACACTGAGCAGCTCCCTTCGCCAACGCCACTTTGTACCGCTCTTTACTCTCTACATCCCTGGCCTTCTTTCCCTCCCCACACAAACTACACTCTCTTGGTAGAAATGATTAGGATTGGAAACCTGATAGAAATAACAAATAGGGAAGTGGTAACTGTTAAGTTACCAATGTAAATTTCATGGTTACAAATATTTAACCACAGCTGATGCACAATTTCACATAAATTGTTTCAATATTCTGGAGATAGACTATGACGTTTTGGGGTACCTTCATTTCTGAATGTTAGGAAGCCCCCACCTTTACCATTCTTGATACCTATGCCCCGCCCACTCCAGACTGCACTTACCAAGTAAAACACAAAACTCAGATAAGCCACGCTGACCACAGCAGCCACCACATACAGAGCAAAATGCCCTAGGTCCTGGACGTAAACCACTACAAAGTACATGTTGATGGAACACACAATAAGGACGAGGATGCCACCTGCAATCTTCCAGCCCCTGTAAAAGAATTAGCATAGTAACTGATGGAATAGTAGAACCTGGCCATAAACAGAAAAGGACACTGATCTTGTAGTACAGATGTCACAAGAGTAAGAGGCACTTTTAAATGAACCAAAAAAAAATAGTTTTTAATATGTTCCAGATATGGGTAAATGAGACAAAGTTAGACACTGATAGATCTAAAGTACTAACAAATAAATAATCCCTAGTATTGAAATCCCTAGAAATGCAAAATGCCTTAGAAGTACAGAAGTCGCTACTAATGCAACAAGTCATTTCAAATACCGCATATCCTTAAAGATGTATACAGAGGGTCCTTAGTTTATGCCTTTATCATTAAGATCATTTAACATGGAATTAAGGTGCTTTAAGCTTTGATGGATAAAGCTGAAGAGTTAAAGCCCTAAAAGCTGATCTGTCCCCCCAGGAAATGAAAAACGTGCTGTGCTACTTCACTACACCTACAGGTCGTTTTTCTAGGAGGCAGCGCTAGCAATTACCTCTCAAAGCATACAGTTTCTCAATAACTCATTCTCTGACTGGCCTGCTTGATGAAGATACCGCCCCCCATACTCTGTAGGAAACCGAGAGGAGTATACTCACAAGCCATTGGCAAAGTCACTCATTACTGGCCGCAAGCTCGTAAATGTAAGGATGGGTATAAGAGCAAAGGGAAGCTGAAAAATAAAGAGCTAAGATCAGACTGGGGTGCTGGGGGTCCTTGTATCACCCCAAAGCAAAGCAGCCCTATTAACAAACCCTGCCTAGCCCTACTGTAAGTAGACTTTGCCCTTGCTACTCCATGAGAAATAATTATCTCTATTATCCCAACATAATCCAGCATTATGCTGAAACCTACAGAGCTACTATTAACCTAACATCAATATGATAAGTGTCTTTACAAATATTTGTACTAAACTTGTCTTCCTAACCTCCACAGGACCTAGTATTGTTCTATATGTTCACTTAATGTTTGCTTGGATTAATGAACAGAATTTTGTGTTCTATATAATTACAATTTATAACTCACATCAATGGGATTAAGAAACCAAGTCCTTTCTAAAGCCCACTGAATGCTAGGGAATCCATATACATTCACTATAGGCCAACACCACACCTCTTCTTCCTCTCAATTTCCCCTCAGCCCCTAGGCACCCAGCACCAGGCTTGATACCTAAGGGAAGTATATAATGCTGCCTGGCTAAAAGGGAGGTAAATTTCTAAAGCTCCCTCATCACCTGTAAGCTCTGCAGAACATTCAGGAAGTCATTCATTCCCGTTAGATGTTCTACATCTTGGAATACAGCAACAAGCAGAGTAGGGATGATGGCAATAGAACGAGTCAGAATCACTCGGGCAAACCGTGACCACTTTAGGTTTAGGAATCCCTGGAAGAAAACGCAGAGGCAAGATAAATATCTGGAACAGGAAACAGAAAGTGGTGTGGGGAAGTTCAGGAAGACCTTAGAAGCAAGGGATTAAAAAATAACAAAAGGGCAACGTTCCCGTCTATTCTATACCAGTCAAGACAACACGAACCTCCATGACAAACTGGCCAGAATAGGTTCCTGTCATGGTGGAGCTCTGTCCTGCAGCAAGGATCCCCACTGCCCAGATATAAAGTGTAGCAGGTCCAAAATAACAGCCCAGTACAACACCCTGGGAGAAGCAAGGGAGAAAGATATGTTGTGTCAATGATTTGCTTAGCTAACACCCAAAACACCATCTCTCCCTGCTCTTTGCTTGCACCCACCTATACCACATGCTGTGCTGGCTGGCCACTGTCCCAAAGCTAGACTCAGGTTCTAACCTTATTCTAGAGGCCTCAACCTCAATTTTGATAAATTCTTCAGTCTAATCCTTTCTCTTCTCCAAGTACCTAAAGCCATCATCCTCAACCTATGTGTTAAAAAAAAAAATTTTAGAAAGGCTACACATTTCTCAAAGTATATTCCTCAAGACACCATTGTGGAAATTGGTAATAGGAGTGAAGAGAAATGTGAAACTGATTTGGTAAATGCTACCTGTAAACACTATTCCTGGCAGTTTACAATGAAAGCAGCTAAAAGGGTGACTTCTCTGGTCACCCACTCTCAACACAAACTTGGCTGGTATGTTTCATCTTTTCAGTTGATCCTCTATTCCCGCCCAGGTAAAAAATGCTGCTCTGGCATCTAGACTTCTGAAATCAGTGACACTCCTAAGGAAATATGCTCAGCTCTGAAGCAAACCCCCAGTGAAATCTAGACAATATGCCAAGAATCTTGATTCAGAAACAAAGATCACAAAATTGAACAAGTTTACCCCTTTATAGATGTCCACAGTCAATGTTGAGTTATCATCAGGAAAAAGGTCAGTGTGGGGACTGCTGCTATTTCTACAGACTTCAACCTGGAACACAAAGCAAAGCAGTTTAGGAACAACTTTTATTTTCAAAGCAAGGGTTGGTAAGCATTCTCCTACAGATCACATACAGTCAATTATAAAATACAGGCTGCAGGTAAGACACAGGAGACAGGTTATGATGTGGGCAGATACTGATAGTGATGTCACTTGTGGTTATGTTCTCCCTCCATAATCTCTCTATGCTCTCATTATGTATGTCATCAAAAATTTTTACTAAATTAGAACATGTATGGTATTACATGAATGCTGGGTTTTTAAATAGTGACAGGAGAGGGTCCTTGAGAAAGTTTTGAATATGAGCAGACATCCAGAATAGAAAATCCTGTCAAAGAAGGGTCAGAGGTCTTATAGATGGGAAACATCATGGTGATCAAAACTAGACAGGCAACCAGGAATCAAGGTGACTGAGAATTCAAAATGGAAAGAAAGTCTGCCCTAGCCACAGTTTCTGTTAGCTGATTCTTCACCAAATAATGGTACTGGCAAGCAGGTTGGCAATTGATAAACGGGAAACAAAAAGGGATGACAGAGCCAAACAGATATGAAGCCCCTAACATAACAGCATGAGTCTGAAGCAAACTCTCTTTTCAGTCAAAAGCTGGGAAAGATGGGTCCATGCTTGGGAGACCCAACATTGTAGACCTGGACTGGTCTGTGCTCTAGGGAGCAACACTGAAGCTACAGACCTATTTCCTGTGAGCACCAAGTCACTGTAATATTTTCCTACCCCATTCCAGCCTTTACTTGACCTTCACATTCACTACCATGACCCTGGCTTACTCACCACCTGCTCATTGGTTTTCCCAAAAAATGCTTCAGCAAAAACTGAGACAACAAAGACGTTGATGATGAAGGAAACAAAGAGAGCGATGCAGGATTCGATGAAAAAGTACTTATTGGCTTCTCGAACTTCTTCCTTCTTTGCACGGTTTACCTGTCTGGACTAGAGAGATTACAGCAGCAATTAATTTTTTGACTAGTTGAAACAAGTTTCCTGTAATTTGGAGTCAGATGAAAGATTTACAAGTCAAACAATTGACCAAATAAATGGAGAGATCCAATATTTGCTTACTTCCTAGATGAAGTAAGAACTTCATGACCTTTTGATGACACTGTATATTCCCCCATTAAGGAATGTGATGACTAAGTGATGAAGTGATTACTAAGCTCTCAGTTTACCGTGACTTGAAAAAAAACTACTGTCCTGAAAAACAACCCATCAGTCCAAAAAGACCTTAAGTATAAAGGTCTCTAAAATCTTTGATCAAATGGTAAGGGCCTCCCCTGGTGGAGCAGCGGTTGAGCGCTGGGCTGCGAAGCTGCCTGCAGCCTCTGCAGTGCCGGTTCGATCCCTGGCCACTGGCGAGGGTCCCACATGGTGCACAGACCTCTCCTGCCGCCCGCTGCTCCCGTCAGCAGTGTATTTCGTCAGTCTCCCAGTTCTGTTCCCCGCTCTGGCTCTGGTGAATTCTCTCACCCTCTCATGCTTCTGACTGTACCCAGTGCTTTTATAAATAAATAAATAAATCTTTAAAAAAAAAAAAAAAAAAACCTAACTGGTAAAAGCTGGTTTGGCTTATTTACTGCAACCACGAAGCCACTTAGACTTTTGAGATCTAAATACAAGAGATGTGGGTGCAGTGATTTAGAGGGCTACATTGAGGGTAGAGATCTTATCTCAAATATTCTGCTCTACAATCTTCTATTTGATTTGAAAAAAAAAAAAAAAAAAAAAAGGCCACAAACGCTTCTGCAAAGGCTGAGATGATAAAGTTGTTGCGGATGAAAACAGAGAACTATACCGGACCTTTACAGTAAATATACCAATGTTCTTTCCAAACATTATTAAAAATTACTAGTGGGAGGGCCTCCTCGGTGGCGCAGCGGTTGAGCACTGGGTTGCGAAGCTGCCCGCAGCCTCTGCAGCGCCGGTTCGATCCCCGGCTGCTCCCCGGCCACCGGAGGAGGGTCCCACGTGGCGCGCAGACCTCTCCTGCCGCCTGCTGCTCCCCTCAGCAGTGTACTTCGGTCCTTCTGCCTGCTCTGCTCCCCACTCTGGCTCTGGTGAATTCTCTCACCCTCCCACACTTCTGACTGTACCCAGTGCATGTATAAACAAAACAAACAAATAAATAAATAAATAAAGCATGCCTCTATTAAAAAAAAAAAAAAATTACTAGTGGGGCCTCCCCTGGTGGCGCAGCGGTTGAGCGCTGGCAGCCTCTGCAGCACTGGTTTGTTCTCTGGCCACTGGCAAGGGTCCCACAAAAAAATAAATAAATAAATAAATAAATAAATAAATAAAAATGACTAGTGTAGGGCCTCCTGATGGCCCTAAGGGTTAAGACTCAGCACTATCAAGCTATCACCAACCACTGCAGCACAAGTTCGATCCCAGGCCAGAGAGCTGACCCACATGGCGCAGCACACCTCTCCAGTCTCATCCACTGCTCCCTTCAGCAGTGTATTTTGGTGGATCCGCCTGTTCTGCTCCTCACCCTGTCTCTGGTGAATCCTCTCACCACCACTTCCCATCTCTGGCCTACACCCTGGTTCTTGTGTGCATAAATAAATAAAAATAAATCTTTAAAAAAAATTATTAATGCAGAAAAACCTGTTAACATTATTGCACGCACGCAAGCTTCTTACATAAAAATGCATTTAATAATCCTCATGTTGTTTTTAAAATACATACTTGAAGTATACTATATTGCAGGATGTCATATTTGTGGCAAATAAGGTAATCTAAGCTTGGGAAACATGGAATTAAATAAACTTCTAGAGATTTTGTTATTACAAAAAAATTCTCATTGGTTTTGAAAACTTCCTGCTTATTGCTCAGTTCTTCTGCTTGTACTTTCATATCTTATGAAGAACTTTAGTCCCAGCTTCTCAGTGGGTCAGTTATCTTTGGTCAGCTTGGTGATAAAATAGTGTCCAAGTGTATGAAGTTTATAAATATCCAACCAAGTTAAAATTCCTGGCTCCTTCAGTGCTCTAACAGTTCTAAACTAAGTGTTGCAAGTAAAGCAAAAAATCCATGAGCTATACAGGAGGCCACTGAGGTAGGGTCCATGCTCACCTTGACTAAGGCAGAATGCAGGTACATGTTGTGTGGCATAATGACAGCTCCCACAATGCCCACAGCCTGCTCGACCTGTGGGGTGCGGCAGCCTGAACAGGACGGCAGGAACATGCCCTTGAGTACCTCGCTCTGGTTGGGTTTCACTGTAACATACTATATACCAATATAACATCTATTAGTCTTTACAGGAATATGAGACCAAGAGAAAAACACAGTATTAGGAAACATTCGACATCCTTTACTACTTACCATAATCTTCACCAACAACTAGGACAATGAGGATTACAGAATCATCAAAAAACCAAGTGACAAAGAGGCTAGTTGCCAAAAGTCAGACTTCAGGAATGGGGTATCATTTTTTTATTTAAAAAATCATATTTTTAGGTATACAATATACAATCTATAGAATGTGATTAAAACTCTAAAGAAACTTAATGGTTATTAAAGGCCTTATTGATAATAACTTTACAATAATATCTGTGAGACAGACCCAGCAATATAGCCAATTCCTGATTTTCTAAATCTATTAAACCATGTTTATCTAAAATCACTTGTTTGCCCTTATATACTGAGACCCTTATAAACACTTCCCATAAATACTTCTCCTGGCTTAGCATTCACTGAGTTGCATAATTGCTCATAAATTAGGTATATTTTTCAAAGTTCAGTTTGCCAATAAGCAGAAATCAGTGTATTAACAACCAGACATAGGAAGGTGCTATTACTATGTAAAGTAGTGTTGATTCCTACGTTTGTCTGCACTGGGACACAAATCGAGAAGCATCCACTATATTCCCTATAGCTCACCAAAACTGTTGTAAAACAGAGAAAGTTTAAGTTACAGTTAGTTAAATCAGGATAACCAAAACCAGGATCTCTGTAAGTTAACAGCTAAGAATGACCCTAGTGCCCTCTGCATAAGCTTCTCCCTGTATAAGACTCCCACAGGTTATTCTGTGATTGGGATGGCCTACTTAGAACCAGGCAGTCTAGTCTGGAAAGTCCTAGAAAAATCCAAGCATTTTTTGACCTACCTGTTTGCTATAGATCATATTCCTTCAAAATTGGCCCAGGGTTGAGTGGCTTTTGTTAATATGTGTCATACACTAAAACCACCTCAGTATTATACTGTCATTTATTATAAAAGGAACAAAGTATTTTTTGTTTTAAAAAGCTAATGAACAATAAATAAATAAATAAAAAGCTAATGAATAGCCTGTAACACTTGCCTCATATCCAAATGTGAGGGCCATAATAGTGATGAGAAAGCCAAAAAACGCTTCTAACTTCCGCAAGCCTAAAGAATTTGAAAAGGCAGCAGTGAGCACACACAGGCAGACTTCTCTAGTCACATGGTGGCACATTCCTCCCTACAGCACACTCATTCCCACTCTCCTTACCATATTTGTCCAAAAAGAGAAACACAAACGTATCTGCAATGGTGATGAGAACTCCACCCCACAGAGGAATCCTAGGTCAGAGATAAAAATTGGAGAGTTAAGGAAAAGACAGGAAACAATGAGAATATTACTTGAATTAAATGTTGAAAATTGAAAATTATTTTTCATTTTTATGTTGACTTTGAAGTCTAGCAAACATTGATTCATTTTTGATGAAACCCTCCTCACCTTCCTACAGACAGGAGATTGATGGCGATGGCTGAGCCAATGACTTCTTGCATATCTGAACCAATGATAGCCAACTCTACCATCAGCCATAGGATAATCCGTGGAACCTAAACACCAAGCAGCAGAAAGACATGATTCTAGTTAATCATTTCCAAGAAATCGGTGCCAAATTCACATTTTGGCACTAACCATAAAGAATCCTTTATAAGCCTGTAGGCTAGACACAAAGTACCAGAACTTGGCACTACATGGCCTATCACTGCACTGTGGCCGGCTGGAGCAGGCAGAGGTAACATGTAACAGAGACTATGAGTCAAGGCCAAGGAAGCAGCTGATCCTCATTTCTTTGCTCATTCCTTTTACTCAAAAGAGGAATGGAATTTTTCTATCCACTGATTTCCTACCTAAAGACAATCCTAAAGTTTTAGGGGAAAATGAGAATCCTAATGTGGTGAAAATACTGTTTAGAAGAGAATAGAAAATGACCGAAGAAAACCTCTATCCTAACCATCGCTGACGAGTCAAACAAATGTGAAAAGGAGGGGGCCATCTTAAATGAAAGAAAGGACAGATATACAAAGGGACCTTGGGTAAAGTGGTTGGAACTGAGTGGCTTATAATAAAATAGGAAATGAACCTGGTCAAACAATCCAGGTGAAAGATACATTTACTTAATGCTGGCTCACCAAGGCCAGGGAAAAAAAGGACCTTAATTTATCAACTAATCAATAGCTGTGTAGCAAAAAGCAACTATCAAGAGTCACGAAGAAAATATATACATGTTAATTTTTAATGAAACACACCTGAAACTCATATAAATAATGCAATGTTACTTCACTTAAAAGTAACAAAAAAATAAAGAAAATCCAGGTATAAAAAAAATGAAAAAAATAAATTAATATGGAATGGGTATAGATGAGATAGAGGCTCAGGGAAAAGCAAGCAAAAACACACATGAAAAAAGAAAAGTTAGGGGCCTCCCTGATGCCGCAAGGGGTTAAGAGGCAGCACTAAGTTAACCGCAGCCGCTGCAGCCGTTTGATCTCCAGCCAGGGAGCTGACCCACATGGTGCAGCAGACCTCTCCTGCCTCCCCGCTGCTCCCCTCAGCAGTGTATTTCAGTGGATCCACCTGTTCTGCTCTCCACTCTGTCTCTAGTGAATCCTCTCACCCTCCACACTTCTGGCCTGTATCCCAGTTCTTGTATGCATAAATAAACAAATATTTTTTTTTAAAAAAGAAAAAGTTAAAAGAAATTATAAGGGTTTTAAATATAAGGGGATACTAGGTTTTTAAATATAAGGGGAAAAAAGCAGAAAAGGGCACTTTCTCACAGCCAAGAAAGGAGATTAAACATTAAAGACAACCAGAGGAAGACCAGTTATCTAAAGATTAGGCTAGGCTCAAGGGAATCTTCCAGATACAGTATCGATCCTTTCCTTATATGCCTATATAAAAAGCCCCAAATGTCCAGAAGGAAGCTATAGAGGACAGTGTATCTGTCAGGGTACCCTGAAGGTCAGGGTAAATTGAATAATCATTACTTGCAAATACAAAGACACTGCCACATACAGCTTTTCCCCAAAAAGTCAAGTTAAACAGAAACATTAAACATAAAATGCAAGGAGACTGAGTAATATGAATGTATGACTAAAAGTGCTTACAGACATTATCTCTGCCCCTCCATGGGCTGGTCACTGCTAAAAATTTCTTCAAATAGATTTTTCTAAGGAAATTTTCTGAGGAAAAGTGAATCTCAAGTTAAATTTTGAAGGAGCAGAAAAACAAAACAAGGCTTGGCAGCAAAAGGGGCTATATCATTCTATTACTGGGACTCCCAGTATTCCTGGACACTGACCCCAAGTCCTGTTTCTATACAGTGAGGTCAGCACTCATGGCCAGACACACAGACTCCTGTGATGTGAGTGACAGAAACACAGGACAGTGCAATACTCACCCTGGGGTACTGGCGGTGACACACTTCAGCCAGATGCAGTCCAGTGACCACTCCCAGTCTGGCAGCAAGGCGCTGGAGCAGAAGCCCCACAACGGTGGCCAGAAGAAGAACCCAGAGCAACTGGAGAACAAAATCCCACCACAGCACTCATTAGACACCTGGCATTTTTGATCTGGTTGTTTAGTCATGTGATGGGAAACACTACATTCAGGAATCAAACGACCTGAGTTCTGATTCAGGTTTTGCACATGACCTGCCTGGTTGCTTTGTACCTTTCTGAGCAGTGGTTTCTCCCATCTGTACTTTCTCCTTGTGCAAGGAAACAACGTGGATAAAATAAAATTAAAAACCAGATGGGGAAAGCACTTTTCATGTAATGTCCCTCCCGATAAAATGCTTACTTATAGCCCCTGAAATTGATACCCAGTAGGCAGAGTAAAGGGTATGAAGAAGTACTGGGTTTGTTTAAAAGAAACCCAAGTAGGACCTTGATGTTCACCTTAAATCCAGCCACTGCTCCAGACTGCAAATCAGATTCGATGTTTCCTGGATCCAGGTAGGCAATGCTCATAAGAAAGCCTGGTCCCGTGAAAGCCCAGAGCTTACGAAAGCTGAAGCAAGAATACTAGACGAGAGGAAAAGATTAAACTGATGATCACCTCTAAACTACTAATCTCATTTGTTATTTCATCACACAGTAGTAAAAGTATCAGCTTTGCAAGGACAAAGGACGTGGGAGGCTGGATACTGAGTGTGCCCATGGATACTGTGCGCTCACTTGCATCTCATTCACTTATCAATAATCTGGTCACTTCTCTGTTCAAGTAAGAGCCTTTCCCTCATCTGCTCTTTCCACCAGCCTGTCATTTGAAAACCACAGTATTCGCATGTCTAATACTACCTAAATGGAACCACTACCAACCACTACCTAAAAGGAACAGAAGTCACCAAAAAAAGGAGTAAGAAATTCATACTTTCTCGATCAAAAAGCTATCACTGTCCAACTTGGCAACTATTTTCAAGGCCCTCATTTTACTCTTCTAATTACAAAAACTCAGTGTTCAGAGAATACATGCAAAATTAGGTCTGAAGCTGTTGCTGTTGAGTTGTCCAGTTGACTTTTCACTGACGGGTTTTTCCCTAGATAGGAATGGTTTCCTCTAACACCTATGACTAACCTCCTCCTCAGGAATGGAAATCTTCTCATCAAAATAGGTGGTGAAGGGTTCTTCTGAGTGCCTGGTGGACTGAGGAAGAGAGGAGTTACTGTAGGCAGGGTTGATGGCACCAAGACTGGCAGAATCCCCATGGTCTCCAGAAGCATCATCTAGATGAACAGATTTGAGAAGAAATAAAGATGAATAAAACATACTAACAATTCACCGTTAGTAATACTGAAATAAATCTTTCCAATACCTAAATGTACAAGACAGCTTGATTCTAACTCAACTTACTTTTAATAATTTATGTTTATATATTTAATAAATTAATTTTGAATAGGTAATACATTCACATGGTTGAGAAACTGGAAACATAAAAAAGTTCCTTCTCCCCCAGTCACCCTCTTCCCCCAGTCACTCAGCTCTAAATCAATTTTAATACTTCCTATCTTAAAAAACTCAACCATGTAAAGCACTAACTGGTTTCATTAAATGATTCATGAACTAGGTAACATCCCATTTTGTATAGTACCCAAAGGGACTATCGTACCCACAGGGACTATACAAAATGGAAGGGTTGTATACTGAAAAAGATGGCAGGACAGGGAAGTTATTTAGCAAAAGACTGTATCAGGCAAGGCCTCCCTCCTTTAGGGTAAAGTAGGGGCTTCTTAACACACAGAGTGCTGACCAGGAAATTTCATATTTTTTAATCTTAAATTATAGTTTGGGGAGACAATGAAAACTGTAAATTAGGTTACTTATTAAATATTAGTGAGGCTTAGCACAATATTTTTTTGGCTGTTGTTTCTCTTTTTTCTTTAAACACTAATCTCACAATGATTTTCCTACTTTCATACTTCTCACTTGGCAATTTTTAAGAATATTTCATTCTCTTCTAAAAAATAATGATATCTATGGCTCAAATATAATATTCCTAGACTAGCCATTTGGTAATTAAAATCCTAACTTTTTGAGAGAAAAGAACTAGTTCAGCCTAGTGAAACAACCGTTACCCCATTATGTGCTAGGACTTAGTCAATGAATCCTCCCTGGATATTACCTCCCTCAGGCATCTCAAAAAATGTGCAAGTTTGCAAAATCCTGCCACAGCTCAAGCTATAAACTAACAAGCAGGAACCCTTCACCTCCTCATGAGCTCCGGGTCACAGGAGGCTGGCATCCACATGATAGGAGGGCTTGTCTCAGACAAGCTGATTTCCCTAAGTACTACATTTTGCAGTTAATCTGAATGTAGGGAAGGGGAAGAGATAAGAGAAAAAAGGCTAGGGGCCTCCCTGGTGGCCCAGCGGTTGAGCGCTGGGTTGCAAAGCTGCCCGCAGCCTCTGCAGCACCGGTTTGATCCCCGGCCACTGGGCGAGGGTCCCACATGGCGTGCAGACCTCTCCTGCCGCCTGCTGCTCCCCTCAGCAGTTACTTTGTCAGTCTGCCTGTTATGCTCTCTGTTATGGCTCTGGTGAATTCTCTCACCCTCCCATGATTCTGACTGTACCCAGTGCCTGCATAAATAAATAAATAAATAAATATTTAAAAAAAAGAAAAAAAAAAAGAATATGCCTCTGTCTTCTACAATAAAGTGTTTTTAAGAGAAAAAAGGCTAAAACAGCAAGATACAAAACCCAATTTGATGTAGCCATCAAAGGGCTTATTGTGAGTCACAAAGCTAATCTCAGTGTTTGCAAGTAATCCTTGTAACCTTCAATTAGAAGATCAAAAACTTTCTTTCTATATGGAGCTGCCTACTTCACCCTAAGGACCCCTGAACTGATGAGAACATTTATAGAAAAGGAATAGAAATTTTAAAGGGGAAGCTGAGAATCAGGAAAGATTAGTCAAAGCACTTAAAAAACTCTAGTCCAATGCACAGTATAAGGTACTTGCCCTTTATTTTAGTACTTCACACATATGTGAAACATTAGAAGTGTCTTGAGCAGTCAAAGTACTCTGGAGGCTTATATGCTAGAGCTGTGAATAATGCAACCTTTGCAAGCATTATTGCCATAGAAATCTAACTTGTAGGTAATCTTGGCTCATCTTAGAATTAGAAATAAGATATGAGGCAGGTCTCTGAGGTTATAAATCCATTTTTACTTATAATTTAAGTGACCATATGTTAATTTCTGAATGGAACCGGTCTCCAGGATGATACTGTTGACTGGGGAAGAGAAGATGAGGATAATTTTTGTTGAAACAGACAAAAGGGAAAAAATATGGTAAGTTTCTGTTACTGACTAAATGCTGATTCCAAACAGAAGGTAAACAATGTGTCTCCCTGGTGGCGCAAGGGGTTAAGCACAGGACTGTGAAGCTAGCCACAGCCTCTGCAGCAGGAGTTCCATCCCCCGGCCAGGGAGCTACCCACATGGTGCAGAAGACCTCTCCTGTCTCCCCCACTGCTCCCCTCAGCAGTGTATTTCAGTCAGTCTGCCTGTTCTGTTCCCCCTTTGTCTCTGGTGAATCCTCTCACCTCCTGCACCTCTGGCCTGTACCCCAGTTCTTGTATGCATAAATAAATAAATCTTTAAAAAAAAAAAGAAGGTAAACAATGACAAAGAACTGTAAATTACCATCAGGCATCTTCTGTTCAGGATCCAACACCATGCTGGATACCCGAGTGTCTGAGTTCTTAGAGTAGGATTCTAGAAAGAAGAAATGGAAGAAAGGAATTAGCAAGAAAAAAAAAAAAAAAAAAAAAAAACAGCAAGTTCAGAACCAGCATTTTGTTACTGTGCACAAAGGATTGCTATGTGAAAAAATAATTCTACTACTGAATTAGATAAACTTCAAAATAATTAGTTTTAGAGTATAAAGAAGAGATGTTAGTACAAGTGAAAAAGTCTTAACCATATTTTTGCTGCAAAACTTCACAACCAAATAGAAGCAAAAGGTATTTCTGTGAAATAAGCAAACACTTTTTAATAAGCACTCAGACAGGCTGCTAGGCAAACACCCATTCTCTGCTTTTGCCTTCACAGAAACCCAAATATATAAAACCAGACTGATTCTCCCCTATTGCTTTTACCATTTTTTAATGACTATTCCTCTCTTTGATCTGTTCAAAAAAGTAACAACAGGTCCAAAATGGTGTCACCTGTGCTGACACTTAGTACCTCAACCCCTCTTGGCCAGTCTGGAATCTCCCTTTCCAGATGAGTAGAGCAATCTGCCTCACAGATGCTGCAGTTCCCCAAGGAAGGTGATCCGAACTGAAACAATTCATTCTTTTCCTTATGACAGCAGCCCCTTACCCCTGCTCTTTGTCTATAAAAGCCATTTTGTACAGTCTTCTGCTCCATGCTAGTTGCTAGGTAGAATGTTGCCCCATTCATGATTGTGTAATAAAGTCAAATCTTTTCAATTTACTGGGCTGAATTATGTTTCATTTTTAACAGGTTTAACTAACAATTTAAGCTTATTCATCCTTCAGTTTTTTGGACAGAAGGGACAATCACTTCACCAGTGTACTGGTAGTGAAGGGCCACTATTTCCCAGTCTCAAATTTTCCTGCACAGAGACTTCAGCTATGTTTCAGGCCCCATTCCTAACCTTTCAACAACTGGGAATGAAACTACTGATCATGGCCTAGCTTCTCCTGGGCTCTGAAGAAGAGCTGAGGCACGAGAAGGCTTAGACAAGATCTGCCGAATGCCAGCACTTTCTCAGTCCTGTAATAAGCGGCCTTGGGGAGGTTGGGATGAGGGTAGAAGTGGGGTATGTCCTAGATGTCCAGCATCCTGTTGGATTAAGTTTAACTATGGAGAAGAAGAGATATTAGCAAACCCATTTGGTCACAGATCTCTGGCATATTCACCAGTGAGCGCCCCACCAATAAGGCTGACTTTTGAAAAACTTCCCATCACACAATGAAGGAATCTCAGTTGGTTCCAAGTTCAGAAGAGGAAAGACAAGATAACATTTATCAGTTGTGCTTATTTTGTAGCACAGTAATTAAGTCTCCATGAAAACTTATAAAGACATATGAAAGTGTTACAAGGCAGGGAAAAGGGCGCCATCTTTGATCTGGCCACACAGTCCCATGAACTACCATCTTTGGAGTAAAACTGCTACACAGAACAATTTCACAAAATCAAACCTCTGAGCACGTGGCTATACACAGACACACACAGCATTTTCACAAAGCCCAAACCAGTTTGTTTGTTTTTTTAACAGCAAATTTATACATATCTGAAACACATTAGAGAAACAAAATCACATTTGTGCTTATGGTAGCCAGTGACATGGGGAAGTCACATTTCCCCACAGGGCTAACCACAGATGGTTCTGCCCCATCTGGGTCACCAAATCTGTTACAAGGCAGGGAGAGGGTCACTCCAGAACCCCCAAACCTGCCTGCTCTAAATAGGTTCTGCCATCCACCGCATCAAGACAAAACATGTAAGACGTTTAATGGCAAGGAACTTTAATACAATTACTGTGCAATACAGACAAGACAATGAATAGTTTCCAAATCTTGCACTCAAAGTTACCATCCCCTTGTGGGTAAAAGTCCACCCAAACAGGATTGGCCCAAAGCAAGGCTCAGAAGCCTGCCACAGGTCTAAAGCACCTTCCAGCAGGGACCCAATGAAAAGGTCAGAAACAGACAAGTCTGGGAGGAAAAGAGCAAAATCAAAATCAAGATAAAAGCTGCCATTGCTAACGTCCCCACGGGTCTCTCACCCACATCTATTTTAACCAGTCCAGGACAAGAAGCAAGAGCAGCTTCTTCACATGTCTCTCTGCTGCTAGTGCCTCCTCCAGGTCTCCTAGCTCTGCATCCTGCTTCCTTCCTTCTCCAGTCTCCTCTCCAGCTTCTTCTCCCCACTCCCACACAGCTCCACCCTCCCTTGGGTGGAGCAGGGAACCTGGAACCTCCCCTTTTCCTGGGGACCACCCCCTTACAGGAGCAGTTAATATTAAAACAGTTTTGCTCTCCAGTAAAGTACCACCAGGTCTTTTCAATCATTTAATTACATTATAGAAAATATCAAGTTGAGATAAAAGCAACCAAATCAACATAGTAATACTGTGGTAATTAAGATTAATATTGCTTTGTTATTCTAGCTCACCACCAGTCACCAAGTATCACCTTCTCTTAAATCCAGTAAGTCTCCAATCAAAAAGCAATCAACAACAGAAAAAGTGGTACTTATGATTAAATGTAATATGGGTATATTATCCCATTTCTTTTCAAAAGTAGCAAGACTGTTATACAATAAAAAAATACTAATAAAGTTACCTTTTCTATACAAAATTTAAAAAGTCTACCTATCCTTTACCCAGCTATTTCACTTCTTAGGATACATCCTAAAGAAACCCACATACAGGTATGTGCAAGGATATTTCTCACAGCATCATTTGTAATATCAAAAGGCTAGAAACAACCTAAGCATTAATAGGGGCATGGTACTGGTTAAATAGTTTATTCATAGGATGGAACACCATGCAGTTATTATAAATAATGCAGATCTTCATGTATTTGTAGGAGATTCTCAAAGATATGTTGTCAAATACAGTATGTTACCATATATGTAGCAAGAAAAAAAAATACACACCTATACAGACTATCTCCCAAAGAACACCCCCAAAACTGGTAACGTCCCTAAGAGTGGCAGGAGCACAAATGAGGTCAGGTGAAAGGAAAACTTCTCACAGAATATACACGGTATACTGTTTGCACTTAAACAAAAAAAATTACCATGTACCTGTATAACTTATTTTTTACATAAAGGTGATATGGATTCTCTCAGTTTCTCAGCCAATACTTCAGGGATGTTCAGTTGAACTCTCTCCATAGTTTCTGTAATGAATAATCAGAGATCTGCAGCTGTCCAGTTGGCAGGCACTTACTGCCTGAAGCTTAACTTAATACTATTTTGTCTTAGTGCCCAGATAGCCAAGCTCTGAAGCTACGATTTGCGAGCTCCACCTGAATGCAAAGAATCAAATAAGATCCCCTCAGAGAAGTGTTTTCCTGACTTCCTAATTGGGTTAAATGGCGCTCTTCTCCAAAGCACCTGCTTCTTGCCATGATCAGTCTTCTTTATGTTATTTTGAAATGATTTATTCCTTGACATTCCTTGATACTATTTTACAACCCTTCTGTAAGTTTAAGTATCTCCCCAAATACATAGCAGCTATAATAAATTCTGAACATCTAATTAACAATAATCATGTTATTCTCTTAACATTTATTAAGAACTCTGGAAGAACAACTAGGCTAATCCAAACTTATAAAAAAAAATTCCCCCAAGAAAGTCTGAAATACTGCATTTTACAACACATACAAGTTGAAACATTGTCCCCCTAGGGTTAAAAAAAGGGTTTGAGATAAATTTTTTTTATTAAATTCCCCCTGTAGAGAGCAAAGGCATTCAAAACAACCATTTCACTGATTTTTACAGATGTGTTCGACGTTGCAAAGTTCTCCCTAAAATTAATCAGAAGGTTGAGAGGAATGTTTTTTCAACAGTCCTTTAATTCTTGCCTCCCCATCTCCTCCCCTTCCCCAGCCCCATCTCAGTGAAGTCAAAGACAGCATTATGTAAGAGAACTTTCATAGGGGCAACCAGAAGAGCATTTGCAAGGAAGCCACTGATAAAATAAATGTGAAAAGGAAACATTTAAACTTGACTAGCAAAGTCATTTCTTTTCCCTATTGACCCTCTATGTTTGATGCCAGTGAAATGCTGGTGACAAAGTGCTGGTGACGCCCCATTGGGAGAGAGGGGAGAGAAAGAACTTAGCTACACAGATGAAGGCTTGAAAAAACAACATCCAAGTAACTAGAGTGTAACAAGGAGTTGGGATTTAAAAATTCTATTTGTTTTGAAGAAAACCTAAAGGTTTCCAGATTAGCTTAAAATTTCCTTTTCCCTAAAGGTCTACTTTCAGGCTAAAGTACTGGATATTCCTAAGACCATTACTATTAATGCAAAGTCTATGTTGTATAAGATGTTTGTGAAAGTGAGCTCCTGCCCTTGGAAGTTTGGGAATCAACAAAATTCTCTAAAATATTCAAGTGGTTTAAACAGAGCTAACTGCTTATAGAACCTTGTGTGTGTGTGTGTGTTTTAATTTAAATTTTATTTTTATATTCCCCATACAATTGCAACCCCCTTATTTTGACCCCAAGCCCTCCTTTCCCCCCCCCCCCCCCGCCATAGAATGTCTCTGGTTCATAGTTGTTTGTCGATTTTGATATTTTCTTTCTTATAGTTATTCATTTTCCTGGTCCCTTATTTAAGTTTTCTAGATTCCTGCTATGAGGAGACCACCTGGTATTTTTCTTTTTCTTTCTAGCTTGTTTCGCTGAGCATGATCCCTTCCAGCTCCATCCATGTTGCTGCAAATTGCATGTGTTTATCTTTTTTGAATGCTGAGTAATATTCCCTGGTGTATATGTACCACATCTTCTTGATCCAGTCATCTATTTTTGGGCATTTGGGTTGTTTCCAAAGCTTAGCTATTGTAAACAGTGCTGCTATAAACATAGGGGTGCAGGTGCTCTTTGGAATTGATGTTAGAACCCTGTGTGTTTTAATAAGGAAAATGACTAACCACTTTTTAAAAAATGAAAGATTATTACTTCCTCTGTTTTTCCTTTCCAAGTCAGTGAAGAAACACCATTTTCAGTGTCTTTCCATAGAGGATATCCGTCTAATTAGTTCTAAAACTCAATCTTCCCCTATTGGGAGTGAGGGGAGAGAAAGAACTTTGAGAATCCATGTGAATTTCTGTATTATTCTTGACGATGTGGAGTTTGGAATTAATTTTTAAATTAATTTGGATAAATGTATACTATTTTTCCCTTGTGGAAATAAATTTGACATAACACAGTAAAAAAGGCAGATTGAAGACTGATTACATCTACTTCCGAAAGGTAGAATGTACGTTTAGTGGTGAACTTAAAGTAGTCATGTTGACGTTTAATGACACACACCTGAAACTTACTTATGTTATAATTCTGCTACTTCAATAACAAAATTAAAATTTTTAAAGAGGGCCTCCCTGGTGGCGCAGTGGTTGAGCGATCCGCGGCTGCTCCCCGCCACCGCCACCAGAGGAGGGTCCCACATGGCGCGCAGACCTCTCCTGCCACCCGCCGCTCCCCCCAGCAGTGTACTTTGGTCCTCTGCCTGCTCTGCTTCCTGCTCTGGCGCTGGTGAATTCTCTCACCTTCCCGGCGCTTCTGACTGTACCCAGTGCTTGTATAAATAAATAAATAAATCTTAAACAAAAAAAAAAAAATCTACTGAAGTCTCCAAAATTTAAAAAAAAAAAAAAATTTTTAAAGAGATCCCAAAACTCTAATCCTCGCTACCTAACTGGATACTAGAATGCCTTCAAGCAAAAGGAACACAAACATGCCCAGTTCATGAAGTACAAACAGTGCTGCTATTGTACGATGTGCTTAATACACACCAGGGCGTCTGGGGGTGCCAGCCAGCCTGCCTGCCTGCCTGCCTCTCTTTCTCTGGCACAGTGGCCACTAAAGCACCAACATAGACCTTTATTTGCTTTACTACCTTTGCATGTAACAATAATCTCAAAATTGGAGACACTCTGCTTAATCTACCAGAGAACCAATTTCAACTCAGTGTCAACTGTTTGCTGCTTCTCACCAGAGCTGGACTTTTGAGAATTTATTTAATAGTTAAAAAAAAAAAAAAACAACCCTGACATTGAGACCATCTAAAGATAAAAAAGGGAAAATGTTAGCTGCAAGAAGAGGAGAGTATAGTTGATAAAGAAGCTGGCTGCTTGGGTGTCGAAAATGATAACACTTGACAGAAACATGGTCAGACTGCCCAGAAGAACTGATCTTTTAGACAAAAATACCACTCATCAACAAGAAACTTCAGTATTAGAAAGGGCTGCTACCTGCTGAAAAGAACTCTTCACTTCCTCTGCTCAGCACTCTAAGCTTAACCAGAATCCAACTGTCTTGATTACTCACAAGTCAGGGTCACAAAAGTCTTATTTGCAGTAATGGTAGCTTGCTTCGTCTTTGTTCCTCCCAACTCAGTGTGAGCTTCCTCTAATTTCCTTCAAAAGAGAAGTTGACAGCAGTCTGTTTCCCATTCAGGGGCCAAACCGGCACCCTGGCCTATCCCATCTATCATGGAACACGACTCCAAGCTCTGCAAACAACTTCAAAAATACTTTTCTGCAGAAATAAGAAAGTCATTGCTTGCCTCAGAAACAATGTTTTGCCCTCATACTTTCTTAAGCAAATGTATGGCAAATGTAAACAATGATTACCATTAGGATACATTAAATTCACTTATTCCAGTGACAGATATTGGTCCTGGGATGACACCTGGCCTTAACAATTTAAAGTACCTATTTCTCTCAGAGTTTCTTTCCTTAAAGCAAAGAAAAAAAATAGAGAGCTAGGGTACAAAAGCCATAAGCTTCTCCGGCCTCATACATACTTCCTTCTGCTCTCAGGGACCTGTCAAATTTTTTAAATAATTAACTTGCAGCCTTCTCCTTTCATTACCTAAGAATTTTAGCAGACACTTGAAAATTGGTGATAAATGGGACAAAAGCAAACAAAAATAACTGGAACGACCTACTAGCAATTAGCATAGAGACTAAGGACTAGTTAAGTTAGGCCTCTTTATGTTTTTGCTGGAAACTGGTGATTAAACTAAAAAATAAGTTATTCTGACTTTAAATTAAAAGTAGAAAAGGAATTAGACAGTAAATACAGTTTTATCATTTCTTGCTATTTTATGTTCCATTATTATTTTATTAATATATAATTCATAATACGTATATGTTGCTTTATTTTACCCACGATATTCCTAATGATACTTGGAGGACTCTTCTTTGTGTTTGCAGGGGCCAAAAAATGCTAATTGTTCAGTTTATGTTTGTTAAATGATCAGAAGAATAAACGGCATTTGATGAGTGAGACAAGGTTCCACACATTCTAATTCCTTATGTTTTGTATATTCAAAGGCTATTCAAAAAGCAGATGATAAACATGACAACATGACATGCTATGACAAATATGACAACCACCTCACACACTCAACTCCTGAAAGATGTCACTCTCCTTGTCCAAGCACAAGTAGGTTTCAAAAAGACACTAACACAGTAAGCAATGTTCCTTTTGTAAATTCAAGTTTTCGCATTTTGTGATTATTTTTTATAATGTTGGCTACACAGCAGCTTACTTGGGAGACTGGAAGACAAAACAATCTTCCCTTAGATTCTTGCAGACAGTACGAACAGAACTTGAGAGGGACATTTACCCTCCCAGAAAGAGCCTTAGTCTGTCAGCAGTCATTTACAGGTGTGAGAGAAGGGAGGGAGCAAAGACCTCTTTGATTCCATAGCACTCACCCAAGCAGAAAAGGTGCTACTTTGTGGATACAAGTTTCCAACCTTGGCTTCATGGAGTCCAAAGGGAACCAAAGATGCTTAGCAGCTCTGCAGAGTAAAACAAAGGACTACTGCTCATTTCTATCAGTAGAGTAACATGAGATTTCTACCAGCCTTACCCATTCACTAACAAGAAGCGCTGCCAGGCTGCCCAGAAATTCCCGTCCAGAGTCACACAGTTATTCGGGAAACATGACAAACCAAGTCTGCTGCAATCATGCCCTTCCTGGTACTGGATTCAAAATAAACTCTGCATAGGCCAAGACTGTAAATGAAATATTATCCAGTGAAAAACTAACCAGTCTAAAAAGTTCTCAGGTTTCATTTACCAACATAGTTACCTCAGACAGACCTACTACAGTGAGTTTCCAACCTTATTTAATGACTCTCCGCTCCAAAAAAAAAAAAAAAAAAAAAATACCACAAAGCCGAAGCATGTAGTCACTTGTAATTATAACACATCCTCAAAGTTAATGACCTGGAGGGAAAATACTGGCCTAAGGGTTCACTGTAACAGGCTGATAGGATTCTGAGTAAATGTTAATTAGGTGAGAATTCTTTAGCATGGACTCTTTAAGTGAACAGAAGGCAAATGAAGGCACTAGCATAACAACAAAAACTCCTGCATGCCAAGAGCTGTTGTTAAGACTGTGTGTATTAACTCATTTAATACTCCCCAACCCCTATTTTTATTAAGCCCCTCTCTTAGTACGTGGAACTAACAGAGCAGAGAAGCTAAGCAACGTGTTCAACAGCTGACACAGCCAACTAAGCATTTGGCTTGAGATTCCGCACACGTCAAGGTAAACATACACTCCCCTGTTTTCACCCAATTCACTAAAATTATGACCAGCAAAAGCTCCCGGAAACCCATCATCCCTTGCCTGTGGCCCACGTAAATCTAGCTTTTGTTCTCTACTTTCAGAGACGTCAAACTCTTTTAACTTCGTAATACTCCTCTGAACGCAGTGGACGGTAGGTAAAATCTTCATTTTAGACACAGAAAACTCAGCTCAGGGTCATCAACTTCTCCCCTAAGGCTGCGCTTTGAAACAGTCATAATACATTATGCACATAATGCATTTTGTTGGGAAAAACAAAAGGGAAGAAGGAATCCAAAGCCGGAAATTAAAAAAAGTAAACGTAAGGGACAGCTTGCAAAGCAGGGACCCAGGTAACCGAACACTTGCAGCGCAGACACCCCACCTACCCACCAGGTGCAATAATGCCCCCCCCCCAAAAAAAACCTGCCCTTCTCCTGGGCCCTGGGAGCTACACAAACAGCCCTAAAATCCACACACCTACTGAGCGGCCTGCACTCGAGGCGCCCCCTTGACATCGGCCACACTAAACTGAATTTTTTTAACCGGTGGCATCACACACCGCGAGGGCGCCGAGGTCAAGCGCGAGAGGAGGGAAAGGAGATAGAGAGACGGTGGGGGAGGGACTAATAAAAAGCCTTATGGCCGCACCAAAAATTTGTTGTTGAAGTGAAGCTGCACAGAAAAAAAAAAAATTTTTTTTTTTTCCTCTGTTGTTGCGGGAGGCCCAGGGCGCGGAGCGGCCCCGGGAGCCTCAGATAAGAAGGGGCCCGCGGAACCTCGCCCCGGCCGGGCCGCGCTGCCACGGCGGCGGGCGGCGAGCGCACCCTGCTCTCGGGTCACGGGTCCAGGCGCGGCGGCAGGGGCGGCCCGGGGCTCGGCCATTTCTCCAGGCGGGCGGGGACGGGCCGAGGCCCCCGGGGTCTCAGGCGACCGCCCCTCACACCCGGCGCCTTCCCCGCGGCGGCCCGTCGAGTAACGCGGCTCCAGCTGGCCCGCGCGCCCGGCGCCTCGGGGCCTTCCTGCCCTCGGGGGCCCGGGGCGCCCGGCCCGGCCCAGGCACCGGCCCCCCGGGCGGCCCCCGCCAGCCGGGGGCGAGCGAGGCCGCGTGACCCCTGACCCCGCGCGCCGCTCACCTCACCGGCTCCACCGCCTGACGGGTCGTCCCCGCGCCGGCGTCTCCATGTCCCAGGAGCCGACGCCGGCAGCCAGCCCCACGCGCCCCGCGATTGGCGGGCGGACGCGGGGCCGCACGTTCCTATTGGCTGGATCCCGGGACGGGCCGGCGGCGCGAGACCTGCCGAGCGCGAGGCCCGGCCCCGCCCCCCAGGGCCGCGCAGGGGCGGGGCCGGCCGGGCGGGGAGCGCGGCCCGAGCCCGCGCGTGGGCCCCTCGCGCCTTCGGGCGGCCGCTGGGCAGGGGCGCCTCCCGCCGTGCGGAGCCGCGGCGGCGCGCGAGGCGCTGGCAGTAGCCGCGGCCTCGTGGAGACGGGGCTCCGCGCGGCCCAGCTCCGTCCTAGAAAGTGCAGCCGGCCCCCCGCCCCGCCGGGGGCACCCGCCGGGAGGAGCCGCGGGCAGCCAGGCGGCCGGCCGGGCCTCCCCAGATGCCTCCCCCCGAGCCTCGGCCGCGGGGGGTCCCTGCGCCCTCCCTGCAGCCGCTTCTCTCGCCCGCGCCTCGGTCTCCACCGACCCTCCGTGCCCCCGGCCCCAGCCTCCGCCCGCAGAGGCCCCAGGCCGGCGGTGCCTCAGAGGGGAGAAAATAAGAGATCTGACGACCCGCCCTCATCGTCTACAGAGCTCCGAGGCGATCCTGCAGCCTCTGCGCCGACAGCAAAGATAACCAGGCTGGCCTGAGCAAGCCGCTGACCTAGAGGGAACAGGCATAACCCCCTCCACCTTCTTTCTTGGTGTAAAAACTGCTGGGGGGAAATTTTATTAATCGGTTTCTAAAAAGTACAAGAAGGGGCCTCCCTGGTGGCACAAGGGGTTAAGCACCGCACTACGAAGCTATCCGCAGCTTCTGCAGCACGGGTTCGATCCCCGGCCGGCCAGGGAGCAACCCACAGGGCGCAGCAGACCTCTCCTGTCTCGCCCGCTGCTCCCCTCAGCAGTGGATTTCTATCGTCTGCCTGTTCTGTTCCCTGCTCTGTCTCTGGTGAATCCTCTCACCCCCGCACCTCTGACCTGTACCCCAGTCCTTGTATAAACAAATAAATCTTTAAAAAAAAAAAAAAGTACAAGAAGGGAGGGAAAATAGAGTGAAGCGCACAAAGAGATATCCCCAGTTGACAGTAAAGTAAAAACACGCAGGACTTCCCCGCCCCCCTCCCCCAAACTGGGTGAACTAGTGATCTGTACTGGCAGGTTTCCATAAGGAATTTCTTCTGGAGAGAAAAGAAAATGAACAAGTTAGTTCTGAGACGCTGCAACACATCTGGGGAGCTTCCGAGGGGCTTCATGAAGTTCCTCCAGGCCAGAAGCTTCGCTTGGGCAACTTGTGCTGCAACAGAATAAAGCGGGGAGAGACGTTCTTGGCGCCCGTACGGGGCTGCTCGGCGGGGCAGCTTTCCTGGGCGGTCGCGCCTCACTGGCTACTTACTCAGCTCACAGTGCGGAGCTGCCTCGGTCTTAGGCTGCTTCTGCTTCATTGTGCAGATGGGTTTGACTTTCCCGGTGAGGGCTCCGGCTGCTTTATAAGCCGCAAGCGCGCCTCCCTTGGTCAGATAAGCGCACCCGGGGCTTCTCTGGGCGATAGCAGACGTGGGACCCGCGGATTTTCAAGAAACACACCACACCCTTCGAAGCATAATCAGATTTCATCTTTGACCCAACATGAAAAGGGACGCATTAGACCTGCCACTCCTGTATATTAATGAACAGTTAACTGAGCTTAAAAACTTTTCTTCTAAGGTTTCATATCTGTTCCACTTGGCCGGCGCAGGAGGCAGGCCTTTGAGTAACCCGGGAGGAAAGGGGTGGAGTGAAAGAAATTACTTTCCTTCAGCGGGCCAGCCCCTTGGAATGAAGCTGGTTAGGGCACCTGTAACAGGGGTGTATTGCATTAGGACTCTGCTCCTCTGAGACGTGAGCTGAAACCAATTAACCTCAAGCCCGACAGTCCACAACTATTTTCCCCATAGGTACGTGCAGCACTGGTGCAATTAGGAGGAGTCTGAGTCTGGGTGAAAATGCTGCCTGGTCTCTTTCTTAAGATCTGAAGGATCCGCTGGCATTGGGACAATCAGTGACCCACAGTGGATGAAGCCAGAAAGGCCAGGTTTCAGTGCCTGATGGAAAGATAAGGAAAAAATGAGGCTGCAAAAAAAATAAACCCAGGGCAAGCCCAGAATTTCTCAATCTGGGAGGAGAGGAACTGAAAGAATGGGGAAATTGCTTCTGGCATAAAATCTTACTGGACCAGCTGGAAGCACAGCTGGAAAGGAGAGGTGTTAGGGTGGGGTGAGAACTGGGTGGGATACAGGAGGGAAGAAGTAGCTGCTTTCAGTAAGTATTCTGATAGTTTTAAAGAAAATCTCCTAGCACCATAATCATGTGTGCAAATAGGTGTGATAGAAATAAATATCTTAAGAATGGAAAAGAAAATAAGAGTAATCAATTCATATCAGTCAAGGCAGGCTTCCAGCAAGTGGCTTGGTTCCTATGAGAAACAGCCATAGAATAAGGGAGGAACTATTGGATCTTCTACTCTAGACCCCAGATGACAATTTCTTTATTCTAATGCATCCTCAAAAGTGACCACCAAAAGTCCTATCATTTTACTGGCTCTGTCTTCTTGTCTTTGTTCTATCTCACATGATTTTCCTAAGGCAAAGCTACCTTGACATTGGGTTGGGCACCAATTTGTCCCCCACTCACAAGAAAATGTAAGTATGAGTAAAATCATCCATAAATTACAGGAGAAAAACATCCCAGATAAGTAGGCATTCCAAAATAGGAATGAATTTTACGAGACTCTACCCCTAGCCCCTTGCTTCCTTGATGCAGTGCTTCCTCCCAACGTACATGCTCCACTCTTGCCTTCTACATCCTGAATTCTCACCTACAGAAACCGACAATGTTAACTAAATTCTTATTATATATCAAACACCGTATTTAACCTCTCCCAAACTTGAATTAAGCCTCACTAATTTTGAGAGAGGAACTTTTACCATCTCCATTTTGCAACTTAGGAACCTGAGTTCTAGGTTAAGTAATTTGCCTAGGAATACACAGCTCATTCGTGGCAGAGTCAACCATGCAACAATCTGTTAGACCAAGGAATCAGCACTCAACTGCCATATCAGACCACCTCCATCTTGGACAGATCATCCTCAACTTATGATGGGATTCAGTCCCATTAAAACCATTTTAAGTTGAAAATACTGTAAGTAAAAAGTGTATTTAATATACCTAACCTACCTTAAAGGTCACCAGAACACAACATTAACCTGTTCTAGAGAGAAGTGGTAGAGGTCTGGGACTTCAAGAAAAGAAGGAAGAAATTTTACAGAAAGGCAAGAAAAGCATTTGAGAAAAGAACTAACTCACTCCCCCTAGTCTTTCACTTTTAGGTTTTCACTTTTTT